GATAGACAAAACAGTCTCAAGATCTTTGACTAGCTAGTTTATTATTATTCTATGCAAAATTGGTAAAGCTTTAGAATACACTCTATAACCTAGTAACCCACGTACGCCATCTTACTAAAAAAGTAAACAAACAAGTATTAGGAAAATAAATTATCGCTAAATAGAAAACAAACTACGTAAAGCTGGTTACTGAACTTTAAAAATGAACCAAACAATACAGGGATGGAAGTGGATACATTATTTTAATAAAAGTCAAACATATATACAAATGTTCGTTACACAGCTAATCACTTCATTTGCATCGAGAGCTTTAAATGATCGTCTCTTTTCGTCAAGAGTTCACACAGACTGGTTCAATTGCTTTAGAACCCAGATGACAAAACGAATTATTATTCTCTACTCTGTTGTCACAATACAGTCAGTGATGAGTTCACTTACGTTACCCCTTGGGTTACCACAGTTGTATCCAGAGCTTTAAATAATTCTCTTTTACGTCAAAAGTCCACACAAGCTGGTTCAATTACTTTAGAACCCAACTGACAAGACGAATTATTCCTTCTCTACTTTGTTAATACAATACAATCTGCGATTATTACACTTTAAAATTCGCCACTATACACTCTTTTTGGCTAATCTTACAAACACAGTCTAGATCTATTTGACTATATCTCTCACTAACTTTGTCCTACTTTCACTAACTCACTCACTTACTTCTATAAATCACTACTACAACTGTTAAACCAACAGTTGAATCCAGAACTTTAAATAATTGTCTCCTTTTCGTCAAGTCCACACAGGGGGGTTCAATTACTTTATAACACCCTTTGACAATACAAGTTGGGCCCGGCATGGTCAGGTGGTTATGGTGCTCGACTCGCAATCGAATCGAGGGTTCGAATCCCCGTCCCACCAAACATGCTCGCCCTTTCGGCCGTTATAATGTGACAGTCAATCCCACTATTCGTTGGTAAAAGAGTAGCCCAAGAGTTGGCGGTGGGTGGTGATGACTAGCTGCCTCTCCTCTAGTCTTACACTGCTAAATTAGGGACGGCTAGCACAGATAGCTCTCGTGAAGCTTTGCTTGAAATTTAATACAAACAGACAAATTATTCTCCTCTATCTCTGTTATTACAATAAAAGCTGTGAAATTCATTTTAGAGATCGATTGTTATGTCTAAATTCACTTTTACTTTCATTTTCCCTATCTTACTTTAACTTCTTACTTATGATCTGTATCTACACGTATTCATAACACGCGACAGAAAAATCTTGAAATATCTGGCCTTCTAATAAAAACAATGTTCACAAAACGAGAAAAACTTAGAAGCTTCCAGTAAGATGACGTCAACAATATTAAAAAACCTAGTACAACAATTAAACATATACACATCATACCACTCGTACATAGTTATATAATGAAACTTGTCATAACTATTGCTTTTAAAATAATTAACTTTTAACACTCTTGTTATGAAAATTAAATGAACATTAATTATTAAAATTTACAAAATAATAACTATTAAGCTAATCTATCTTTTATATATCACAAAGGCCCCCCAAAAAAACGGACCTGAATTTCACTGCCCACCCCTAAATTGAGCATTGCCAAAATATTACAGTATTAAATTTCAAACATTCTCATTTCTTTAGTCATGTCATACAACTGACATCAATTACACCTGAAACATTTCTGTCTAAGTCAACATGAACTATTCGTAATAATTGTCTTTAATCGTAATGACAAAGGACGTTCACTCTTAGGTGAAGTAAAAATAGCTTGCGTGACTTTTTGCGTAAGCGTGCGCAAATATTTTGGTGAACTTTGAGCGGTTCTTGATGAATAACTTTGGACATATATTTAGACCAAATGTGAAATGTAATTGTAGGTTGTAAAGATCTATCAGTGCACCAAGTTTGAAAGAAATCCAAAAAATGGTAAGTATGTTTTTCTATCAAATAAAGTTTCGGTACTTTCAGTGTGAAGAAAAAAAAAGGGAAGAAAGAATTCGATCAAACTTGGAAATTTTATTTCTCGTGTATTTCTTAATTGAATGCTTTGAAACATGCTATGTGAAGTAAATGTTTAGTAGAGCACATTCACGAAAAATATGTGTTAGTTTGGATTACCACGTTCCAAGGAAGAGAAAGTGTAAAATCGGTAAACTATCACTCCTGTTAATAACACAGAGTATGTCCTGCTATTATTTTGGCCTCACGACACAATACCGTGTACATCATTTGTTGTGAAAATAAATAAAAACCGGTTAATAATAATAATAATACTATTTTATAATATATTATATAAAATAGATTTAAAATGTCAGGATGGCCGAGCGGTCTAAGGCGCTAAACTCAAGGTGTTATTAGAACGGATGTGTATTCTGGTCTCTAAATGGAGGCGTGGGTTCGAGTCCCACTTCATGTACAATGTACAGTTCGATTTTCAAATTTGTCTCTATTAGCATTTCATGTTTGTTTTTAAAAAAATCTTTATTTAGATATCAAATTATTTTATTTCTTCTAATGCTTCTCCTCGTATTCTATGCTAATTTTAATTTTAAATGATACCGTTTCTTAACAGCGAAAGGGGTTTGTTGTCTTTCAACCCTACTCTAACGGATAATTGAAATTGGAAAAGTCGACTTTGTGAGCTTATACCTAAGGCTGTTGTGCCAGACGGAGTTGAATGCGTTCTTCAAGGTCGAAAAAACAGCTACAGTTGAATGTTTTTTACGAAACGCTACAAATACTGTTTGTGTAAGACTTATAAGATGATGAGCGGTTTGGAAATCGATACTGGAAGCGTTTTCAATTAGTAGATCATTGGATTCTATGATGGGTGCAAGACGATTAGCAAACGTTAGCAAGGAAGAGCAGGTCGGTCTGAAGTTAACTTGGTTATTTCTAT